CTTAAAGTTGGTACAGCTTATCTCATTGGAGAACTTATGTACTTTGACAATCGTTTCGATTGACCCATAAATGGGTTACACGTGGGCGATTAGTTGGGTGCACTAGGAATTCAAGGGAGATAAGTGTATAACTAAGATAGGACATGTCATTCCTTGTATGCTAAAGGAGTTATCACATTGCACTTTGATAAATGTCCGCTCGAGAAATTTATAGCCATAGTAGGAGTATACCAATATAGCATAGTTGGTTTACTCTAAGAGCTAAGACATTTAGGAATCGAAAAAAATTTATATGATCATAATCGAACAAGACGAATAACCAAGTTTGAGATCACATTATGATAAGTTGATATAAGAACTGAATTGTATAGTAACCATGCTCGTGAAAGGTAATAATGGATTAACTAATCATCCTAGAGAATTGGGTAGTCATGATGCCTTGGTAGAGACCAATCTTGATTTATGTATCAAAAGATAAAAGAGGAGTCTTTTTGTTCTTGATACATTGCCAACATATGTAGAAAACTATTGAGTCACATGTATAAGTTTAAGTATTCACATTATAAGTGAGAAGCAAATATATTGGAAAAAGTTTTCAAGTCTAAAAGTTTTTTGTTTTGGAAAAGGTTTCCAAAATGAAAAGTTTCCTTAATCGGGAAGTTTTCTAAAATAGAAAGTTTCCTATGTTAGAAATAGATTTCTTAATTTGGAAGTTAGTTTCAAATTTGGAAATAAAGAACCTAAAAGGAAAGGAGTTTCCTAATTTAGGTTAAAAAGATATTTTAGTAAATTGTTTCCTAACGTGGCTCGGCCAAAATAATTTAAGAATATTTATTTGGATAGTCCAAATAAATTAATTGGGCTAGAATAGTTTTGGCCCATTAGGTTTAACTAAAAGTCTTAAGACATTTTAATGGGAGGATAAACATTAACTTTATTGGATAAGATTGAATGTTTTAAAGATAAACATCAACCTTATTGGATAAGGTTAAATGTTTTAAAGATAATGATAAAAAATTCCACATGCAAAATAACTCATCATCCTTAGAGGATAAGGAAGCAACAACCTAGAGTCCTTTATGAACTCATTACCGTCCCTCTCCTTGTCTTTGGAGAACAAGCAAACTCTCCTATAAATATATAAGAGGAGAGATAAAATTCAGCTAACATAAGGATTTTAGAGAGAGAGAGTTTCGAGCGACTCTAAAAATAATAGAGGGCACACGACTAAAAGAGAAAATTGAGAAAATAGTTTTCTTCTAAACCTTAGCAAGCTATACTCTTTTCTTCTCCTTTAAGGTTGTCACAAAAATGCCCGGTATTGATTTCTAAAAGAACTACTAAATCGAAAAGGTGGAGCTAGCATCCTATTAATTTTGAGTGGTTCTTTGTGGATACTTGGACTGCATGGATCATTAATAGGCGCCAAACACTTGTATGGCTTTTCTAAAAAAGAAATTTAGATATGCGCTAGAAGAGGTAATCCTTTATTTATAGCTTATAATTCATGTATGTATGGTTAGTAGATTCAACGACTTGATCTTGGGCTCTTATATGGAGAAAATATTTTTTTTGTTTATTCTACATCCTCATAGGATACATGATCCTTCAAGTTTAAATACGTAAAAATACACCTTGGAAAAATATATGCAAAAATATACAACTCAATGATATGCTTGGAAACACAATTTTAAAGGATCTACGTAAAAACTTTCAACTTAATGATACACGAATATGACTTAAAAAGATGTGAGCAAAAATATGCAGCTTAGTGATATGTGTGAGAACACGACTTAAAAGATATGCACAAAAACATGCGAGCTAATGATATACAAGAAAACGCAACTTAATGAAATGTGTGAAGCCACAAGGCTTAATGAAATACGTGAAGATACAAAGCTTAAAAAGAGGCATTAAGCCTATAAATATATGGCAAAATAACGAGTTGGAAATGAGGTCAAGCCCATAAACACATTCAAAGGTAGCGAGCCATGAATGATGTCAAAACCATAAACACATTCAAGTGAGGTGACACAAATAGCATCAATCCTATAAACACATGTAAAAGTGATGAGTCACGAATGGCATCAAGTCCATAAACACACATAAAAATGGTGAGTCAAGAGAGACGTAAAATCCATAAATAGATTAAAAGGTGGCGACCCACAAATGGTGTCAAGCCTATAGATACATTAAGAGATGGTGAACCACGAGTGGCATTAAGCCTATAAACAGATTCAAAGATGGTGAGTCATGAGTGGCGTCAAGCCCATAAACACATTTGAAGGTGACAAGCCACAAATGTCGTTAAGTCCATAAACACATTTAAAGATGGTGAGCTACGAATGACATCCAGCGCATAAACACATATAAAGACGGCAAGCCATAGAGCATCAAACCCATAAATACATTTAAAATAGGTGAGCCATGAGTGGCATCAAGCCCATAAACATATTTAAAATTTAGAAAGCCACGAGTGGTATCAAGTCCATAATAAAATTTAAATTTGTCGGGACACAAGCGACGTCGAGCCTATAAACACATTTAAATCGACGAGTGACATCATGCCCGTAAATACATTTAATCACATTAACACATATCCCACCATCGTTTGACAAAAATAGTATCGGCATTCCGAGCCAACACCTAAATATTTCAACATATCACCATATACATCACATAAATTATTTGACGAAAATGGTGTTGGCATTCGAGGCAATGCCACACATTCCGACATATCAATGAATATATCACCCGAATTATTTGACAAAAATGGCATCAACATTCGGAACCAACATCGTATATTTTAACACATCTACATAAACATCACATAAATTATTTGAGGAAAACAATGCTAGCATTCAAAGCCAACACCACACATTTCAACACATCAACATAAATGTCACATATATCATTTGATGAAAACAATATCGGCATTTAGAGCCGCACCACATATTTTGATACATGAACATAAACATCACATAAATCATTTGAAAAAATTGATATCAACATTCGTAACTAACACCATATATTTTCACATATCAACACATTGATGTCATTCACTCAATCTCATCATACAAACAACACAACATATTTTATTTACATACAACGTAACCGACACTTGTCTCAAATAAATCATTTAAATTAAAAATTATTTTCAATCCTCTTAGCTTTTTCTCGGAGTATTGACACCAATCTTATTTCTCTTTAAGGTATCCGAAGATCTCGGGCGTATCTTAATTAAACTTTAACTATCATTTCGTTTCCACACACACACACACAAAGAAAAACAAATCATATTTTTTTAACAAGAAAATTTATTACAAAAAACATATAAAAAAGGGTAAAAAACTAGCTGCTACGTTTAAACTATATTTTAACACATCAACATAAACATCACATATATCATTTGACGAAAACAATATCGGCATTTAGAGGTAGCACCACACATTTTGATACATGAACATAAACATCACATAAATCATTTGAAAAAAATGATATCAACATTCGTAACTAACACCATATATTTTCACATATCAACACATTGATGTCAGTCACTCAATCTCATCATATAACCAATACAACATATTTTATTTACATACAATAGAACCGACACTTGTTTCAAATAAATCATTTAAATTAAAAATTATTTTCAGCTTCTCTTAGCTTTGTCTCGGAGTATTGACACCAATTTTATTTCTCTTTAAGGTACCCGAAGATCTCGGACGTATCTTAATTAAACTTTAAATATCAACTCAATCCACATTTCGTTTCCACACACACAAATATATATATATATATATATATATATATATATATATATATTATTTTTGATTAATTGAAACTTGCATTTTAGATTATTACATAAAGAAAAACAAATCATATTTTTTTAACAAGGAAATTTATTACAAAAAACATATAAAAAAGGGTAAAAAACTAGCCGCTACGTTTAAACTACATTTCAACACATCAACATAAACATCACATATATCATTTGACGAAAACAATATCGGCATTTAGAGCCGCACCACACATTTTGATACATGAACATAAACATCACATAAATCATTTGAAAAAAATGATATCAACATTCGAACTAACATCATATATTTTCACATATCAACACATTGATGTCATTTACTCAATCTCATCGTACAAATAACACAACATATTTTATTTACATATAATAGAACCGACACTTGTTTCAAATAAATCATTTAAATTAAAAATTATTTTCAGTCCTCTTAGCTTTGTCTTAGAGTATTGACACCAATCTTATTTCTCTTTAAGGTACCTAAAGATCTCATACGTATTTTAATTAAACTTTAAATATCAACTCAATCCATATTTCGTTTCCACACACACACAACATATATATATGTTATTTTTTATTAACTGAAACTTCCATCTTAGATTATTACATAAAGAAAAACAAATTATATTTTTTTAACAAGGAAATTTATTACAAAAAATATATAAAAAATGATAAAAACTAGATGCTACTTTTAGAAAGGGTAGAAAAGATCACCATGGTGCTTTGTTTTTTGTTTTTTACGCAGGTATTTTCATTTTATATATAAAAAAAATATGATTAATCATATTTAAGACATGAAAGATAAATTTTAATTTCTTTCAATAAATATAATTTTAAAATTTAAATATCATGGGTGGATAGAAAAATTATCTAGAACGAGCTTATTTGTCATTGATCATTGGACCAGCAATTTGCTGGTAACTTCACGGTGCCGTTATTAACCTTTAGCAGAAAACAAATGCCGTCGTAGTGTCAGTGGATTGTCGTATCCCATTTCTCCCTATTATAGTACTCCTATGGTCCCTCGAACTCCAATATAAAGACCAGCCCCTTTGTGTGTTCCCAAACCGGTTCAAAAATTCCCGCATATTTTATCTGGCACCTGCCACTCGCTCTCTTTTCTCTCTCCATCACCCATTTCCATCCCCATATTCTAGTCTCCGCCACCGTCTTCTCCGCCGCTGCAATGCTCCCGTATGCCACCCTCGACGAGGCCGCGGCGGCGCTAGGCAGGAATTTGACAGCAGCGGAGACATTATGGTTCAATTACTCTGCAAAAAAGTCAGATTATTATTTATTTTGCCATAACATCTTGTTTCTTTTTCTGATCTTCACTGTCGTGCCATTACCCGTGCTTTTCCTAAGTCTCTGGCGATCTGCTGGGATTGATAAGTACAAGATTCAGCCTAAAGTCAAGTTGTCACCTTCTGAGATGTTCAAGTGCTACAAGGATGTTATGTTCATGTTCTTTTTTGTTGTGGGGCCTTTACAATTGGTTTCTTACCCTTCCATTAAGGTAAAACAATCTTTATTGTTTTTTTTTCTTTTTTTCTTTTTTGTAAATTTTGTGTTTTTGTTAAAAGAGTTTGTTAGTGAGATTTTGATTGTTAAATTTTGGTTTTTGATGGGTGCTTTCTTTGCTTTTTCCTGTTGGGAAAATTTTGTGTTTTTTATACAACAATTTGTTATTGAGGTTTTGATTGTCAAAGTTTGGTTTTTGATGGGCAGTTTGGCTTTTTTAATAGATTCGGTGCAATGGGATTTGCTGGGTTTTGGCATTGGTTGCCATTGGAAATCACAGATTTTGTTGATTTGTGTGATATTGGATAACTTATTTTATTTCTGGGTAATTATTGGAATTTCAATTAATTACTTTATGTGTATCTTTCCCTTTGCTTGCTTTTCTGGGACTATGTTTAATTTAATTGAATTTATTTTGGTTTATTGAGCACTCAGTTTTAAAGTTTGATATGTTATTGTGACATTTTGAATAATTTTAACCATCTGTCGACAAATAATTGAAATTTTTTGTTTCAATTTTGAAATGAAATCTTAGACTTCTGATGTTGCGTATTTGACCTGCATGTCCACAGATGATCGGGATTCGAACAAGTTTGCCATTGCCTTCCGGATGCGAAATCTTTCTACAGTTGTTGGTCTATTTCGTGGTGGAGGACTTTACCAATTACTGGATCCACAGATTTCTCCATGGTAATTGGGGATACGAGAAAATTCACAAGGTTCACCATGAATATACAGCTCCTATTGGGTTTGCGGCCCCGTATGCGCACTGGGCCGAAGTTTTGATCCTTGGAATTCCATCTTTTCTTGGTCCAGCAATGGTTCCTGGTCACATGATCACATTTTGGTTGTGGATTGCTTTACGGCAGATTGAGGCAATTGAGACGCACAGCGGGTACGCATGCTATGCTTTTCTTATTTGCTGAGAGCCCTTTTCTGCTTTACTTGATTATGACAAAATGATAACAACTTTAGAACTTCTTTGCTGAATTACTGTTTTATTACAGACTTTTCTGTAAAATAGTGGGAGATCTCAAGTATCTTCAGTAGGGACTTACCTTTTCTTGGCGTGGGGATAGGCACTGCACTTTTTGTTTTATTATTATTAATTTTCTTTTTCTTTGGTTTAGTCAGCGAATGGTTTCTGATTTATAAACAAATTGACAATCTTCTGCCTAATCAATCAACAGAATTTTGGTAAGGTAAAAAAAAAAAAAAAAACTTGCAGAAAGCAGCTAATGTTTTTTTCTGGAGAGGTTAGGCCATGTCACTTCCTCCACAGTAAGCGAAAGTTTCTATTTTCTATAAAGTACCAAATTTCCTTCTCTCTCTCTCTCTCTTCTTCTTTTTTTTTTTTTAAAAAAAAAAAAGCATACAACATTTGATGGATGAATATTGTGATTAATTTTCAAATATGGTGTCTACTAGTTCCTATCCTTAGATTATGCATGCCAAGGAGTATAAGATCAGTGAATGTCTCCTGATTAGATTTTGGCTTTTAACTTTTCCCAAATTTTATAAAAGTTCACGGTTTTGTGCATTTCTAATAAAGGATGAACGAATGGTGCATGTAATAAATATTGTTAAGTTAGTTCTATGTGATTAGCGTTCAAATATTGTGTATGCTAGTTCCTACCCTTACATTTTGCATGCCAAGGAGGATAAGATCAGTGAATATCCCCTGTTTAGATTTTGGCTTTCAACTTTTCCCAAAATTTATAAAGCTCACGGTTTTGTGCATTTCTAATAAAGGATGAACAAATGGTGCATGTAGTAAATAGTGTCCAGTTAGTTTTATGTCTTGACTGGAGCCCACTTGACAACTATTGGGGGTGATAATATTGGGGTTTCTGGCAGTTCATTTAGCTAAATGCTGCGTGCTTACTAGCTATCATGCAGAGTGGTTTGCTAGGTTTGAAACTGTTCAAAAGTAAATTTGACGTCTGGGAAGTACAGTCTCCTAGTAAGAATTGTAGTAACTAACTGTTTTATGTAGGCTTAAGGCATGCAAATCTCTATGCAATAGATATATGGATATAAAATCCTGAGGTACTACAATAGAGGAGCATTCTTCTCCAAGGAGCGTTGGGTTTGATCCCTCAAGTCACTCCAGCATACAGGTGTTGTGATGGCTCCAAGTGATAGCTTCAGTATGAACTGAAGTGACTTGCATCAAGCTAAGAGATAATGATGATGCTGCCTTTCTTTTTCATTTTTCTCAAACTCCTTCCTATAGATTTGGGGAATTATAGGTAGCTTAAGCAGATGCAAAATATAACTCAGTTTTTTTCTTCCTCGTATGAAGGAAAAGGGAAAACAGAACAATACTACCAAAAGATGGGTTCTGTGCAACAACCTAAGAATTGAGATGTGTGCATACTAGACATATTCGTATATTGTTTCCTTGTGATACCCATTTAGCTATGGACATTTTTAGGACTTCCTTTCCCCATTATCAGCGGTGGATGGTAATGCTTATGGTAACTCCAGCTCGAAACACATTGAGCATGTTTCATGTCTTTAATGAGTTATTTAGATCCTGATAGTGGATAATGTCTCCTCCCTATGTAGGTTTTGTTTTTTTTTGTTTTTTTTTTAAGTTGATAAGCAGCATAAGGACCACGGTACTTGTTCTTGTGCTGCTTTTCATCTGCTGGCTATATATATATATTCTGGAACGATGTTTTATCTATTGGGGGCACCACGTGGCATGTTTGCGAGTACCTTATGTCTTGCTATGCAGATACGACTTTCCCTGGACTCCCACAAAATATATTCCATTTTATGGTGGTGCAGACTACCATGATTACCATCATTATGTTGGGCGACAAAGCCAGAGCAACTTTGCATCAGTGTTCACTTACTGTGATTTTATTTATGGAACTGACAAGGTAAACAGACAATTCTTGTAACAAACTATGCTATCCTGGAAGTTATGATAACTAATATTGGAATGTTTTCGTTGATGTTTAGGGCTATCGGTTTCAGAAGAAGGTTCTTCAGAAGGTAATTGCATTTTTCATTTTTGAAACATATTGATTGACAAATGGAATTTGCTTGATATCTATTATCTATGTTCCTGAACACAGACAATTATAGTTCAATATAGGTCAATGTTGAGCAGAATGAATATAGTTACGTTTTCTCTTGGATTTCGTATCATTAATTCCTGCTAATATGTACATATCATGTATCTTTTATTTAATCCAGTTGAAGGAGGGAGTGAAAAATGGTGGTGAGCAGAATGGAGGTTCCTACTATGTTCCTACACAAGGTCTTAAATCCGACTAGCTGTCGAACTGCAGAACTCTTATTCAGTACAATGCCTTTAGGGTACAACTCTTGGAAACCAACCATTTCAAGCCTGACGTTGTCCATATGCTAGTCTGGTAAATTGCAAGTTGTTAGTCTTTCAGGTGGATATTAATTCATGTTTTGTGTAGCTCGAGGGGGAGAGCTTTAGTTTTCCATGCTAAGTTTCAGGATGTGGGGTTTTGTTTAAATGAAGCACTGGAGTCTGGATATAATGGCTTGCAACTTTACGAATATTTGGTGTTGTTATATTAGTTTCCGTTTGACATCCAAATTCAGAAAACCGCACGTATACATTTCTATCGTGAGATGATGCTATAATTTTGCTGTGTTGTTTCGTTTGCTGAAGTCAGGTTGACGGGGAGAAAGGTTCACATTGAGAATTAATAATTGACATTCCGAGGATACATGGTTAAAAGCTTTTATGCATCCAACTATTTTAAATTTTGTACTAATTTTCTTTTTCTATTTGTATTTGTCTTGATGTTTCTTCACTACTTTCAAATTTGTTTTGGTTGTGTTTTTATTTAATTAAAAACTATGATTGTATCAATTGATAACCTATCTAAGATGTACTAAAGATGTCCACACGTGTTCAAATATATATATATATATATATACATATATATATATATTTCCTTTTCTTTTTCCTTTTTCTTCTTCTCCTTCTTCCTCCTCTCCCCACGATGGCTGACGACTGGTACACATCATCTATGGTGCTTTAGTTTCCTCTATTCATTTTTTCATTTAGTACGAATATAATTTCATTGCTTGACTGGTTCTTGTTCCATGACAGAAAGAGCAGAGATTTGCAGATCATAAACTTGTTTAGTTAAGGAGATAGAGAGAGAAATTGGGTAAATTTAAACTTTGAAGTTTGCATCTAGAAAAATTCATTAAATTTATCTAAATTTACTGGGCTGATGTGAAGGAGAAAAAATTAGTTTCGATGGAAGTACAAACTCATCTAAAAGATTCAAAAATAGCTTTTAGGATAAAAAAAAAGTGATTTAACACTTAAAAACCTTCTTGTGTTTATTGCACAAAAATTATGTTAGTCCATTAATGCAAATTAAAACTCAAACAAAATTGCTTGTGCTAGCGGAGCTCAAAGATATTTTAATGAGTCACGTTTGGTGAAAGGAGTTAAATACTATCGTTTTTGCTGCTCTAGAACAAAATTAGTTCTATTTCTATGATGGAAATATATGAGTAAAAAATTAAAAGAAAACGACCAAACCACCCCAGCGCCAACCCTATTCTTTTTCATTCACAAACCTGTTCTCTCTCTTTTTCTATTATTGTCTTTCATTCCCCGTCACTGGATTCCTCCATGAAAGTAACAAGAGATAATAAAAGCAAACATTCAAATTTGTTTTTCTTTTTTCTTTTCTTTTTCATGTGATGAACTGGGATCAGGATGATCCTTATGAAATAGGGGGTGATCATTGTTTTATTCCAGGAGGTAATGATACTTTTGTTAGACAGCTTGCGAAGGACCTTCCGATTTTCTGCGAGAGGACTGTGGAGGGTATAAGGTATGGAGTTGACAGGAGTTTCGTGCTTTGCATGGTCCCATTGAATTTGTCCCTGAGCTTCTGCAAAGAAACAAAGATGCAATTCGGAGACTAAGATATCAACAGAAAAACTAAAAGACCCCGAGGAAATTAACAGTGAATAAATAGTTATTTCCTTCGCTGTTTATATATTGTGGATAGGAGTGGCAGTAGTGACATAGAAAATAGTAATTTTCATTAATGAAATATCGGATAAAGAGTCAGTTGGACTCTCTAATATTAGAGAGCCAAAGACATTCTCTATATCAATTTTAAAGATAGAAATTGTGATAAATAGAGCATTAGAGATGAAATTCGGATCAAAACTCTTTATCATAAGGAAAAATCTTAATATAAAGAGAGCATTGGAGATGCTCTTATATTTTTAAAATAAAATTTTGATACTTTGGATGCAAAGGCCGGGCGCCCAGCTTGTGTTGGGCACGCTTCTACGAGCCATGCACGCAACTTGCCTTGGGCCTACGGAACTCATTAGTCTCTTTGCTTTTTTCAACCGATTTATGTTTTTTTTTCCACACAAGCGAGACAATTATGAAATATATAAGATATATTTCTGGATTTCATAATGACCATATATATTACTTTTATCATTTAAAATTAATGTTTTCCGTTTTTTATACAAATTTTTATTAAATTAATTTTTATTTTTTATATAATTTTATTTTTTAATAAATATGATTTATTTCTCTATTTATGAATTTTTGAATAATTTTTTTTAGTTTTTTTATTTTCTTATTATTTTTATAATTAAAATTTAAAAATCGAATTCACTCGTTTTATTTGTTTATTCTTTGTATAACCAAATTTTATTAAACTCAATTTATATTTGTTTTTATTATATTTTAATATATTTTTACAACTTAAATTTTTTTTTAAATATTTTTCGGATTATGCCGCATACTCTAACCCACTAAGTATAGTCATAATGTATATAAAAAAAATTAGGATCATTGATTTTATTAAAAATTAATTATACATCTACACACATAATACTAAGTATATCCTATTATTTTTTTAATATTTTAAAATTAAACCCTTTCAAATAAATTAATTAAAATAATATTTTAGAAGAACTATCTAATAATTCAAATAGATTTTTTTATACTAATATTATTCATTATTTTGTAAATAAATATATATAAATCAAATATACATATTTTTAAAAAGCTAATCTTATGATTAGTATTAAATAAGAATTAAAAATATTTATTTTTTATTTTTTATATAATTTTTCATATTAATTATTATTTTATTTTTTCGATGCAATGATATGAAAAATTATTAAGATATTTTTTAAAAAATTTATATTTAGATTATTGTGAGATTTTATTTAAGAAAAAATGCATAAGAAATAACAAATCATGTTTTTTTTTAACTACAAAATTTATTAAAAACATACAAAAAAAATAAAAATTTTGATTAAAAACTATTAAATTTTATGAAATTTTATCTTTTATTTTTAATTTAATATATTTTAGTTAACGAGATAATATAATATATACTATCAAACTGAAATAAATATATTTAACTTGATCTCATGACATAGCATGAAAAGCCTAGCAATGATTGCTAAATAAAGTGGTTTTGTTCTTTCTTAATAATTTTTGGAAGGAGAAATTGATACATTTGGTCATTTGTCGGAAGAATCATCGGATGAAAAAGAATAGTAAAAGGAAAAAAAATTTAATGTCTACTTTTATTATCTCTTGTTCCTTTCGAGGAGGAATAGTGATGGGAAATGATGAAAGACAATAATAGGAAAAGAGAGAGATCGAGCTTGTGAATGAAAAAAAAGAAAAAAAAAGAATAGAATAGAGAGTGGGACAATAATGGAGTGTAGCAATTTAGTCTTTTCCTTTTAACTTTTTAATTTTATAGATTATTTATTATTAAAATTATTTTTAATTTGAATAAAAACACTCTATTTTGAGACCATGAAGGCCACTTATCAATTAATGATCGATGATTTTTTATAATAACGTATTACGTTAGATGAATAATAAGCGACATTATAATGGAGGGTTTCAAATAAAAAATTTTAAAAATTAAAATATTTCAATCAACAAAATTCAAAAAATTAAAATCTAAATATTAGAAAAACATGTTTTACATACTAATGATGTCGTAAAAATCAATTGAGCGTTCATAATAAGGGCAATTTTTGTGAGTGTGGGAGTGAAATATTGAGAAAATATAGTGCTTTTTTTTCGCTTGAAGGTTTTATCGAACAGTTTGTGTGTATGAATTAAAAAATAGTATTTAAAAAATTGCAATAAGTTAACATGACTTGAAATATGAAAGCTTGAAACTTCATGGCAATCGTGGCCAACAAAAGTTTGTTTTTGAGTTAGAAACGCGGGGAGAGATTTCTTTCAATAATGCAAAATTATATAGTGCAAAAAGAAGAGTGATTTGTGAAAGTAATGAGAATTTATAAATTATAAGAAGAATAAATGACACCATTTGAAAAGGAGAGAAAGAGAAAGCAATGTCATTCACCATGGTGGAGAGAGGAGGAGGAAAAGAAAAAAAGATTTGGACACTTATGTTTTGTGGGTTCTTTTGTGTTTCTCTCAATTAAAAAAAAAAAAATTGTACAAAAAGAATTAAAAAAATTAGATAGTAATTTGCAAGACAGTCCAGTCTAGCTTTCAAACTCAAATGTAAATAGATTAATTAATTATCTTACTTATTCAAATGTAAAATGATTTAATTAATGATTCTACGTGGATTGCTACCTCTTATAAGGATTTTTTTTTAAAGATAAATAAACTAAACTAACAAATCAAATTATTAAAACTAATTTGCAACATTCGAATGAAATTCAATCTGTCCAGACAGACTAGAATATAAGTTTGCATGGATAATTACTAATAATGATAATAATTTTAAATGAAATATTCAAATGTTTTTTACTAACTTAAAATCAGAACAACTAGTTTGAATTAAAAATGACATATTAGAAAAGACAAGATTGTAGACTTAACAATGTAACAAATCTAAATAGACACTCACAATAACTAATAATAGTGAGTGTTTGTAAATGAATATTTCAAATATATCAATTCTTCATGATCACAAACCGTGAATGTAAGATGAGAACCAATAACCAATCTATAAGCTTATGAATCTATTGACTTACTTGATTATTGCTTGCAAGCTATTATCTTGTAAGTTTCAAGTGTGTTGAAAATTAGGTTAACTCTTGGTGAGTTTTTTTCTCATGTTGCAACTTATATTTATAGGCCTATGTTGCAACTTGTATTTATTGGTCTTTGGTCCTTCTTGATCTTTCTTAGCAGGTAATGTTCTTTTGTAATTTGCCATGTACTTCTGTAATGTTTCATGTTTTTTTATAACTATTTTATAAGTGTTACTTTTATGTTTCACTTTTTTTCCTTG